TACGTATTTCATTAAAAAAATTGGTACCCGCCTGAGATTCGGACACCGGTGCATCGCTCAACACGAGTGCACCGGACGTCTTATCCTTTAGGCCACGACGACTCCATAGATTTAACGCCAATCGTTCCAAAATTCATACAATAATCATTATTACATTGAGAAGATTCTCATTGTAACAATGATAATGTAGGTACATTATCATAGCTTTTTTTTTATTGAGAATTAATATAGTTTGTGGGACTATATAATTTAAATAATAACAACAACAACAATATTAGTTCCAAGGAATTTTATCGGAGTAGCACACATTAAGCTGTCGGGTTATATTTAACTTCAAGTGCACTTAATTGACATTCAATATGCGATACGTGCTACCAAAGAGTATGTAGATAACGTATGATAGAACAGAAAAGACAGAGACTTATTTTTATTTATGTATACTATGGAGGGTAAGGAACATACACCATCGCGTATAGAAGAGAAGTTGAAAAAGTGTCCACCTGTAAAAAGCATCCTATTGTTGAAAGACTCACCGAAATAGCTCTAGTCTAGGAAGTGGAAATTAAATGAATATCGTAGTTTTAAAAAAGAGTGAAGTGTTCTGGATTGAAGTTAACTATGGTAGATTATGGCGCTGTTTTTTTTAAATCCTTCCACTTAAAGACTTCCTTTATTACACAAATCTTTGTCTTTCTTCTTCTTTTGTTAGTTATAAAAATTCACTTCTAGCATACTTTAATCTATGTCTAATGAAGTGTAATGAAGATTATTAAATTGCACGGAATCTAGGCATTCCACTCCCGGAATCAAGGAGAACTTGAATGCATTTTTTATTCATTTAAGTACATAAGTATGTAGTACATTAATATGTACTAGTGGTAAATAAAAGTACTGAGTATACGAATTGCGGATTATCAGATTACGTTTATTATCGTTTTTGTGTTCTTAAATAGGGCACGTTTGCCTGAGTTTCTCACCGGATCTTCTCAGTGGGTCGCGATACCGACCCGTAGATTCAGCGAAGCACTGCTCTAGTGTTAGTAAGCTCTCTCAGGTTGAGCCCGTATGCTCACAAAACCCGCCCGCGATAAGCTGGAATAGCCTTTGTTATTGTATTGCTAGTAGCCTAAGAGGCTACCAGCAATACTGGTGAAAGGAGCTCTTGTGAGTCCGCGCGGGCAGGCAACATCACCACGCCTATTTCTGCCGTGAAGTAGTAATGCGTTTCGGTTTGAAGGGCGGGGCAGCCGTTGTAACTATACTTGAGACCTTAGAACTGATATCTCAAGGTGGGTAGCGCATTTACGTCGTAAATGTCTATGGACTCCAGTAACCACTTAACACCGGGTGGGCTGTGAGCTCGTCCACCCATCTAAGCAATAAAAAAGGGAATAAAAGGCACGTACTTGACAAAGCATTAAGTACGTGCTTTTACAAGGTAGAAATATCGAAAAAGCAATTGATATTTTTGTAATAAAAGTACCTACCTATAGAGTTATAGAAATAATAATAAAAAATTAGGTACTAAAATCGGCATTTGCGCCCGGGACTCCCAAGTTATTTATTTAATACGGGATTTACAGCTAAATCTGCATTGAAAAGTGTTCAGAAGTTTAGAAGTTACTAATAAATAGTATGTAAGTACTACAATTTGCTTGTGCTACATTAAGATTTTCGAAATAAACGTGTCGAATAATTACGGTAATAACAAACTAAAACGTGTTTTTTTATGAATTCAAACAAAAACATCGCAAATAGTTAAAAATAAATTTGAAATGATAACAAGACGTCATGTAAGGTTAACGTAAAATCTAAAAGCTACACAAAAAACATTTCCACGCGCTAACTTGTTTGAAGCGTGTAGCTGTTCAAACTGGTCTTAATTAAAGCTGACTTTGTTTTTCCTTCAAAATACTAGGTTAACTATAATCTGACAAATTTTCAAATGGGAGGAAATGACCGAAAAAAACTTTTTTTTTCTCCATGCGTGGGAGGCTGCCATTGCCCGCCCCACCCACGGAGTCGCAGCTAACGGTTGCGAGTATTCATAGTATATATGAGTCGACTATTATCAAAGGCGGCAATCTGACTTTTGGACAATGATTGGTAAATCAGAAAAACGAATTATTGACTTTGTATTCCATTGGCAATCACAAAACTCTTCGGAACGACATCTTAGATAAATAACAGGTTAACTATTAACCTTTATTTAATGCAGGTTTTGAACCATATTCTTTGAAGGAGACGATTATATTCAAATAAATATGTATTGACATATCAATAAAAAATTTTTGTCCAAATGTACAGATTGCCACCTTTGATAATAGACGACTCATATAAGTCCCTAATGCATTTCACGAATTTTCGATTGGAAGGGACTTGGTCATGAAAATCTATCACTGGCTCCCGGACTATAAAATATGTATAAAATATGTAAATCAATGGTCTAAAAGGAATAAAATCATTATGCAGATTAATGCGAATGAAGATTTTATAAGAGTGTACAAAGGGAGGGAAACGCAAATCGACTTGTAAATATTTTTTTTGCAGCCTACGGTTATCCACTGTTGAACATAAACGTCCCCCAAGGTTCGGCCCAACAACCGGTCTTCCAGACGCGTGCATTCAGCGGACTCCTACGAATTTAAGCAGTGTGCTTAGTGCGAGTTTTTTAACGTTCTCGATAGCGTAAAAGTTAACTCATATTTGTATGAAATGGGATCATTTGCCTATGTTTTCCGCTAGGGGCGCTGTTCCAACTGCATACAAAATTGGGCTAACTTTTACGCTATCGAGAACGTTAAAAAACTCGCAATAAGCACACTGGTCGTCGCTCCACCTCGCGGGAGGCCTATCCACGGTGCGCTTTCCGGTACGCAATTTTATAACTTTCTAAATAGATATCTTCTCAATTAAAATAAAATAGGTACATTTTGTGCTTAAATCTTAATTTTTAAAAAATATTTATAATTTTATAATTTTTAAATTTTAGAAAAATATTGATATGCCAAATTATTGGAGGCAGGGCATCTTGTGAGTCGTGCTTGTGAGTCGCTAGGTACCACTAACTTTTTTTATGGTGGTAATACAGACTGGCTGGTATCGTACTCCAGCGCTTTTGACATTAATATACGCTTTGAGAACGGTGGACCAAGCCCCAAGGCATTTATAGCAATATCAATGAAGTTGCCGGAATTCTGGATCGATATACTTCTATCAATTGCTTACACAGTGCTTGTGCTAAGTGCTTCAGAAAGTACTTAACACAAGATCTGTAAAGTATGCGAAAGTAATAAAATGATTACAATAACCCGAGCCCGAGATTAAGCCGTAAAATTTGAATTAGCATATATTAATAATTTTTAAAATTTCTAAATAACTTAAAATTAAATTATAGTAGGTAAAACATGCTATGTACACGGTTGTGTTTTGTTCGACCCATGGAGTTAATAAGTAAGGTTCGACCGTACTGATGTATTATCTATGCAGTGTAGGTACTTCGTTTCTGCCATAAAGCTATGACTAGGTGGCGGAAAATCTTCTCACCTCAAACCCTGCAGTGTTTCAAGGCGAAAGTCTTTGCTCAGTGTGTGTTGCCAATGATGACATAAAGCAGTAAGAGATGGTTGCTGACAATGGGCCTTATTAGAAGACTCAAATACACATAAAGGCCAATGGAGAGGGCTATGCTCGGAGTTTCCCTGCGAAATCGAATCAGGAATGAAGAGATTCGCAGAATGATCAAGGTAACTGACATATCCCGAAGTATTCCAAAATTGAAGTGGCAGTGGGCAGGGCATATTGCTCGTAGAACGGATGACCGCTGGGGCTGAAAAGTTATTGTAATGAACCTTGGAGGAGGCTTAGTGGATGCCCAGCAGTGGACATTTGTGGGCAGACATAAATCGTGCTTCTTAGTAATCTGTCATTTATATGAAATCTACGTAGTATGTAACTAAGCACTTGAGACTAATTATTGTGAAGACTTGTGTCTGAGTCAAAAAATATACTATTGTAATTTAGAAAGTACTCTTTTTTTCAAATTTTATTTTGAGATTTTACACACTATCAATGTGTAGTGTGTCTCACTATATAGTCTGTGTAGGTACCGAAACTCATAGAGTGTGCTACCTACATAGAGTTAGTAATATATAGTTGTAGGTACTTATTAACTCCATGGCTATCTATTTTACTTGAAACTGGCATAAAGTTAAAATATTGCCATAAAAAAACAGTGTGCTATCTACGGTACTGAAGTTTTGTTTATAGAAACTTTTTGGCGAGAGTGCAAGGAGTGAAGTTGTGTGATTTGATTTATTTTGTCTATTTAGTGTTTCTTCAGGTTTAAATGTGTAATAACGGTGGTTTAACTGTTTAATATCTGTGAAAGTGCACAAATGCGGGAAAATGAAACAAAGCCGCTTGACGTAACTTCTCGGGATCCTCCAAAAAGTCCACTGAAAAAATCTCAGTAAATGACCACCATTTTACTGAGATTATATTTCATCCCATTTCATTTCATTTAATATCATCCCAGTTGATTAATGTCTTAAATTAATCATCTTCATTTCATTTCACTCCATAATATCCTTTTTCATAAAAATATGAATATAAATTAAAATAAGACATGACTTAAAGGTCTCAGTTACCAGATTATAAAATCCCTAAAACAATTTATTCATAGATATTAAATTCCTTAATATCCTTTTTCATAAAAATATGAATATAAATTAAAATAAGACATGCCTTAAAGGTATCAGTTACCAGGTCATAAAATCCCTAAAAAAATTAATTCATAGATACTAAATTTATAAATTTTTATTTCAGGATTTAAATAAATCGTATAAGACCTGGCTTTGGCTTTTTTGAAAATTTCTTTCAGAAATTATATAGAACAGACAAGGCTGTATGAGCTTAGATCTCCTTGCCTTTCCTAATAAGGAAAAATTGTACCAAATAAAAATGTCTATGGTTATTGTTTATTTCAAAGTTATAAACAAGTTTGTTTGCCATTTGTTTGTATTTGAGAATTCTCGTACTCAAAATAAGTTTGAACTCATATAAACTTGTATAGAGAAATATACTATACCTCTACTTGCTTTCTAATAAATATCAACGGCCTGAAATAATTCGGTTGCCAATAGCGCGATATATATTAAATAATTCCATTATAGAATACAAGTAGGTAGCGTTAACTAGCGTTACTTTCAATGAGAGAGGTGTTTTGTGTTCACTGCTACAACAGAAGCTACCTGAAACCAGCCATAGCATAGTTGGGAAATGTAGGAATAAAAAACAGCAGAAGTAAAGTCAAACTGCAACGAAACTACTAACAAATATAAGCTATTAAGACTAGATCACACGTAAACCTGTTTTATAAAATCAGCGTTCCCAAGACAGGTACCTCAAATATGGGTGATGATAGTGAGGCAGCCGTAGACGGGAGAATTAGGCAGATAATCCCCAGGTAAATATATACTGTACTGCAAAATTATTCGAACATTATTGTTCTATTTAAAATCTTTAATAGTTAAAACTCTTTAGTTTTAAAAACATTTTCATAAACGGATTTACTCACCTGTCATTCAGTGGAGAGTATGTAGTTCAGTTTTACTATACCTAATAATACTGTTTAAAATATTAATTTCAATAGAGATTAAGGGTATTAAATGTTGTTTTCTTATTTCTATTACAGGTGGGTGAATATTTTGTTAGATAAATTTAGTATAGTTTTAATTAATACTATCAATAAAATCATTTATTGTTCATTCATTCATATTTTATGTCATTATAATATATTATATACATATTTCAGATGTAAACATGAAGCACACGTCACACCTGCACAAACGGAGGTACTTATGGAGAAAATCAAAACTAACCCATTCATAATATAGAAATTAATATTTTCGTGGCTACCAAGCCTGGCAATGATCTTGCTGGAAGCATGTTACCAATGAACTCAACAAACTCTCAAACACCCCTGTCAAAACACCAGAGCAATGGAGGACAGTTAACTATCAAACATGTTACCTGCTATTATTGGGTAGCTGTATAAATGTTAATAATAACATTGTGCAATACAAACCAAATTTCAAAAATGTATAAATTTCTTTCAATACTGATGATATGGTGTGTTATGGGTCAGTACTGGTAGCTACCGACAATCTGTCCATTTTTACTATAAAGCTATCAAGCTTGAAGGGTGGACAGCTGTCAAACAATAAAAGAAGAGACTGGCTGATTATGATCTCAAAGTGGACCAAGCCAAGACCTCACCTCGGATGGGTCAAGAGATCATTTACTGATCTAGTGCATTAAATAGAACTTTAAATAGTTCTAGTAATAGTTTGAGAATGAATAGATTCTAAGTTAGTTATGTAGCATTACTCCTCATCATCTTCATCACCATATTATGTTTAATTTCATTCTCATCTTGGATTGATTATCTAATTGATGATATATCATGCATCTTGAATACTTAGGATGAAATAGAGGAAGATTACTGGTGGTAGGACCTCTTGTGAGTCCACACGGGTAGGTACCATCGCCCCGCTTATTTCTGCCTTGAAGTAGTAATGCGTTTCGGTTTGAAGGGTGGGGCAGCCGTTGTGACTGTACTGAGACCTTAGAACTTATATCTCAAGGTGTGTGGCGCATTTATGTTGTAGATGTCTATGGGCTCCAGTAACCACTTAACACCAGGTGGGCTGTGAGCTCGTCCACACATCTAAGCAATAAAAAAAAAAAAAAGATTATCTAATGGCTGGTATTATTTTTATCATATTATCAATTTTCAATATACATAATAAATACACTTGGGAAACTGTTCTAACTTGAGGCAGTCAAGTCCTATGAATGAATCTTACAAGACGCATCCAATTGTAGTTTCATTATAATTTGTAATGGCAGATAATAAAGAAATTAAAGAAAAAAAGTAATTTAAAGGTATTTATGCATGAAGTTCTAATAAAAAAAAAAATTGGGTGGATGGGTGAACTGGTTCACGACCCACCTAGTGTTAAGTGGTTACTGTAGCCCATCGACATCAACAACGTAAATGACGCCACACAACTTGAGACATGAGTTTTGAGTACAAGTAGTACAACAACTGCCCCACCCCTCAAACCGAAACGCATTACAGCTTCGCGGCAGAAATAGGCAAGTTGATGATTCCTACTCGTGTGAGCTCACAAGACCCCCCTACCACCAGTAATTATTAATTTATAATTTTTACGGGTTTGATTTTTGTTATACGATGTTATTCCTTCACCGTGGAAGTCATTAGTGAACATTTGTGACGTACGTATTTCATTAGATAAATTCGAACCCTGGCACAGGTGCATCGCTTGAAACGAATGCACTAGGCGTTTTATCTTTTAAGCCACGAGTTCAGTGTTTACTCTACACAATATTTACTACTAGTATCAAAATACATGCATACATACTAGCTCACATATTTTTTTTTTGCTTAGATGGGTGGACGAGCTCACAGCCCACCTGGTGTTAAGTGGTTACTGGAGCCCATAGACATCCACAACGTAAATGCGCCACCCACCTTGAGATACAAGTTCTAAGGTCTCAAGTATAGTTACAACGGCTGCCCCACCCTTCAAACCGAACTGTCACCAGTAAAGACTCATGTCACTATGTCAACACTGAATACCAACACAGACCCCTGCGGCGTCTGAATATGTTTTTTTTTTTCTTCCTAGTCATTGGTAGTCCTAGAGATTATTCCAACTACGCGCCAATCGGTAGGTGAGCTCACAAACTCAACCTGAGAGAATTGGTAACACTAGCCATAGCAAGAGAAGTGCTTCGCTGAATCTATCACCGGATCGGAATCGAGACCCACCGAGAAGGTGAGATCCGGTGAGAAACTCAGTGGGTTGTGTCTATAGGGAATTCTAGTGATTATTTAAATTATTATAGAAACCAACAAGAGGATTTGCTATTAAACAAATTGTATTTGTTCTTGTAGCAAGTGACTGCACAGGTACAAGAAACAACATCCCGGTCTCCGGTGGCACATATAAGTATAGTTAAATTTCATTATTCATATTACACTTAAGCATACATCTCACTTATATGAAAGTTTCATCCGTATTGCATTGTTCCAGGATTGAGTCGTAGGAGATTTGCAACTGTAGTTACAGCACAAGAGAGGCCACGAAGAAAGAGAAGTAAGTTAAAATATTTCAATATTACAGTAAAAACATTACAAGATTATATCGCAGCAAAAGAAAAGTATATTTAAAAAATATATATGACCATTTTCAGATTTGAATCTTCATCGCAATGCTCGTGCAATAGCAAAGTCTAGAGCTGAATCAATGAGGGTATGTTTTAATATGAATTGTACTGGATATTAGCTCTTAGATTTTTCGATATATCTTTTTGAAGTGAAACTTCTTTAGGCGCATTGGGAATAAAATTTAATTCGCGACAGATTCGTTGCAGCTAGAGAGAATAGATACAATTTAGGAAGAGCGAGGGTGAGAGAATAAGAGCGTCTCGCGAACCTCTCCTCCGTAATGAGAGGGAAAAGACAAAGCGAGCTAGGTCATTTCTCTTGTACACAGCATTCCCTATTACAAGAGAAATTGTATTTTAGGATGAAGAATGAAGAAAACCATAATGCTACAGACCGCTAAAGAAGTTTCACTTCTTTAACGTGCACCAAGTTACACGCGCAACATTTTTTTTTATTGCAGGTACTGGCGGCTGCCTCTGAAACACTAGCGGAAGCTGTTAAGATCCAGGCCGAGGCTGCTATAATACAAGCCGAAGCTGCGAAAGCTCAAACTGAAGCGTCATTGCAATTCGCCCAGATTTCTAATAAAATAGAGGACATACTAACTTTATTATTGAATAAAAATAATAATTAGTCTTATAGTTTTATTCTTTCACTAAAATTACACGGATGATAATGCAAATGTAGTATTTTCAATAGTCATGGGGCCGGTAGGGAGAATAAAATGAAAAAAATCTTGTTGTCTATAGGCAGCACAAAACTCGCTGTTCGNTTGCAATTCGCCCAGATTTCTAATAAAATAGAGGACATACTAACTTTATTATTGAATAAAAATAATAATTAGTCTTATAGTTTTATTCTTTCACTAAAATTACACGGATGATAATGCAAATGTAGTATTTTCAATAGTCATGGGGCCGGTAGGGAGAATAAAATGAAAAAAATCTTGTTGTCTATAGGCAGCACAAAACTCGCTGTTCGTAACGTGGAGGCTCGATGTTACGCACTCTGCATTTGGTTCAAGTTGTTTTTTTTAAATTAATAATTAACCACCGTACAAACATACCACAGTATAATTAAAAATCAGTACGATCACACTATCTGCATTGGTTTTATTCCGATTCGATTCGCCATTTTGAAGTAAGCTTCGTACTGTTTCTGAGGGTAGTTTATGGTTCCTCTCTTCTGAGTTTCCGCGTAGTTCTTGCGTTCTTTGTCTCCTGGTGCTAGTACGGGGAGCTTAGGGTCCATCTGGATTTAAAACAAAAATATTGTTTATTTGGCTTATTTATGAAAATGGCTTATATTATGAATGCATCGCGTAAAGAAGCCGAAAAGGCTGAGCCGCTTGAAGCTACAGATTGACGTCGTGGTAGCGTGATTCCTATGTCTGCTATTGTTACAGTATAATTGATAACTCGTACGACCAATTGGTTGAAATTGAAATGAAATTGAATTTTTTGTTCAAAGAACTACAAATAATGCTATAAAGTTGTTTACTACACAAAACAAACTTATCAGATACTGATCTATGGAGCATAGTACTTACTGTAAGGTGACAATTTAAAAATAGTTGACGCCTGGCCCTTTTTGTTTCAAGACTGATGCAGTTATATCGTACCTACTATTCAAGAACTAAACGTCACGCAAATGTAGCCTAGCAGTAATTTAAAATAAAAGACGACAGACGTTATTGTATGAAAAAAGAATTCTTTCTATCTACACAATACGTTTTGTCTTTTATTGCCATGGATAATACAAGAATACTGCACGTTTTGAATTGTGCCAAATTATTATCGGTCTTGTTCAAATCGCCAAGAGATACGGCCACTAACTGTGGTTACTTACGCTCACCTTAAATCACGTTTGAAGCCAGACATGATAGCTTAAAACGTACCGGTTCTAAGTTCCTCCAGTGCTGTAAGCAGTTCGAGATCCTGTCTTCGAAGCCAGGAGCGAAGCAGCCCGGGTCGATGGCCGCGAAGCAGTGCCCCAGATCCGGAGGTCCGCCTTGACTGTCCAGTTCCCAACCACGGACTTGATGCGTCGATTTAGATCCTACAATCATACATTTGTTAATCTACCCTATATCATAGATTGATTATTAGCTTGGTAGTATATATTACATGTGTTTTTTTTTTTTNATCCTGTCTTCGAAGCCAGGAGCGAAGCAGCCCGGGTCGATGGCCGCGAAGCAGTGCCCCAGATCCGGAGGTCCGCCTTGACTGTCCAGTTCCCAACCACGGACTTGATGCGTCGATTTAGATCCTACAATCATACATTTGTTAATCTACCCTATATCATAGATTGATTATTAGCTTGGTAGTATATATTACATGTGTTTTTTTTTTTTAATAATATTTGCATGCTTTGCTTAGCTGTTTCCCAATCCCAGGGAGAACGCGCGAGCCAAAATAGGATTATTGTACCAACTTGACTGAGCATACAAAATATTCTACCACCAGTAACAGAAAATCAGAGGCAACAATAGCGGGCGTTTAGTAAGGAAATGAAGAAGGAATCGATGAAACTTAAAAAAAATGAGGGAAAAACGTAAAATAAAATAAAAGTTGAAAAAAATTTAAATTTGCGTATTTAATGACGGTGGCGTAGTGGATTTTACGAAACAATTACACATTCTGGTTTAAAAATTTGAAAAGCGGTTAAACAATTGAGACTGTTCTAATTTCTCAAGATTCTCGGTTGCAGAATTCACATTACGATGTCTATGAGCTTCCTTTAATTGGCCAAAGGATTCCATCGAGATCTCGGGCAATTTTTTACCAATCACTTCAAACTTGTATAATTTGTGTCAAACTAACGAAAACACGGCACCTCTAAAAGGTTTTACAGCAAGTATTATATATTTCATACATTTTGGAAGATTTTGAAACTTACCCGATAATCCACTGCATAGTACTTCAACAAGGGCGCTCAAAGCATACCCTTTGTAACCACTGGTCTCTTCAGCACCTCCCAGCGGCAGGAGTTTAGCTGTTTCGAAAGCCTAAAGATTTAGACAGAATTATTAAAACATGTTTAACTGATTTTTTGACCATTTTATCTTCTATTAGCAACTAATAGTAAATTCGTTGCTGTATGTTGTCACGGTGATGAAGTCTTGACCTACCGGTCGCCTCAGCACCCTCGTTGAATCTTTGGGTTATTATGACTGGCATAATCTTTTTTATTTTTTATTTCCCACCTAGGCCATAAAAGACTATGTCAGCGTAACCAGACGAGTAGGTGAGCCTACGGGGCTCAAACTGGCAGTGTTGTTCATACTAGCTCTAGCAAGAACAGTGCTTCGCAGAATCTACCACCGGATCGGAAACGTTACCCACTGGGAAGATCCGGAGAGAAACTCAGTGGGCTCTTTTTTATTACGCCTCCCCATCAAAAGGACAATAGGTATGTTCGACTGTTTACAAATATCTACAAATAATAATGTAACCTTTGCTTAATGCTTTAACCTTGCCTAAATGCTTTCATTAAAACTCAATTAATTATAACTAACCAATTTAGCATCAGTGGTAGTTTTTCCGTCTGGGCCTAGAGCCCAACCAGCTGGCAACGGCTCCTCTTTGTGTACTTGTATTTCAACCTAAATAAGGAGAAAACGATCGTAAAATATATTTTGAAATCTATATTTCTGAATTTCAGAACAATAAAAGTTTTAATACTTTGTAGATGTGTATGGGCTCCAGTAACCACTTAACATCCGGTGGGCTGTGAGCTCGTCCACACATCTAAGCAATAATAAAAAAAAAAAAAAAAAAAAAAAAAAAAAAAAAAAAAAAAAAAAAAAAAAAAAAAAAAAAAAAAAAAAAAAAAAAAAAAAAAAAAAAAAAAAAAAAAAATTTAAAACAATATATTTTGGAACTCGTGTTTCGGGGTGGGTGGCGGCATTTACATTGTGGATGTCTATGGGCACAGGTAACCCTTAACAACAGGTCAGCCGTGACTTCGTCCATCCACTAAAGCAATAAAAAAAATGTGTGTTTTTCAACTAACTTATTACGCATTTAAGTTTTAGAAATTGGCTCAGTATGCGCCACATTTTGTGTCGCCAAATGACATCGTAAATTTTACAAGAAATACTTGAATTAAAATTAAGTTATATTTCAGAGTTTAGTCGATTTCTTTACTTACTTTGCCCATAGCAACCGCTGTTGTAGCTAAATCGACAACCAAATTATCGCCGTTTTTAGCTGGAGCGGCCAAGGCTATGGGATTTGTACCCAATGCACTCTGAAAAATAAATAAAAGTCTAAACACATTTCACTAAAGACCGGTGATACAATGAATTAATTATGTCAATGATTGTCCCTTAAGTTATTCCAACAAATTCTTAATGTAGGGCTATAAAAAAATATACTAACTGTTTTAGATCTAGTCGGTACTAATATCGGAGAAGAGTTTGTAAACGACAGCCCTATGAGACCCTGTTTTTCCGCTTTCAATGCCCAGTATCCAGCCATACCGTAATGATTGCTACCTGTAAAATATTTTCACAATTAACGGCCAACTATCTGTGTATTTTGTGCAAGTTTTTTATCGCTCTCTATAGCGTAAANAAAAAATATACTAACTGTTTTAGATCTAGTCGGTACTAATATCGGAGAAGAGTTTGTAAACGACAGCCCTATGAGACCCTGTTTTTCCGCTTTCAATGCCCAGTATCCAGCCATACCGTAATGATTGCTACCTGTAAAATATTTTCACAATTAACGGCCAACTATCTGTGTATTTTGTGCAAGTTTTTTATCGCTCTCTATAGCGTAAAAGTGAACTCAAATTTGTATGGAGTTGCAACGTTTGCCTAGGTTTGCCGCTAGGGGCGTTGTTTCAACTGCATACAAATTTGAGTTAACTTTTACGTTATCGAGAACGTTAAAATACTCGCACTAAGCACACTGGTCTGGTCGGCGTGTCACAACTCGCATTGTTCCTACAATCATCTTATGCATCGCAAAAGTCATGCATTCCGCATTAAAGGGTGGAACAACTGTTTTACAAAATAATTTAAGTTTCATTGTCATATCTCATAGTGGCATTTAATTTCTGATGTCTATAGACTATGGAAATCAGTAAGCCATGAGCAAATACATCTATCCTGTGCTAAAATAAAGAGTTTTTAATGCGCTTTTATTAGCTTTGATGAGTGTATTCATTGTGTGCTATTTTCACTGACTTCAAGACGTCCGATTAACTTCAATAAATATGCCACAACCTTGTCTTAAATATTATAGGATCGATAACGGTATAATAATTTTATAGCTTCGCTTTAGTATCCTGAACAGGACAACAAAATAGATGAAATTAATTGTTAATATGGTTTGCTATAAGGCGCGTTTTTTTAGGTTTTTATCTACATATTATGATTTATTACCAATAAGAAACTACATACATGTATATATTCACAATAAATCGACTTACGTCTGGCAGCCACCCATCCTACTCCCGCTTCCTTCGCCTTCCTTATCGCGACATCCATACAGAAGTTTCCGACAGTAGCACCTAAAGCGTCGCAACCGTCCACCAGAGCGGTCGCAGCCGACTCTTTCAATATCACCGGCTTTGCACAAGGATCTGTTGCTTTTGACAGGATATCGTTTATATAGAATTCTGAAAATAATAATAATAATTAGGCGATATAATAGTACGGCAATTTTCTATAGACTCTTACGTATTCGTAAATGCAACAAAAATGTTATTATAATTTTCAGATAATTACGTAGTATAATTTCTACAGAAGTCCTGTTTCAAATTTAAATGTATTGATTCTAAAACTTCTTGTACCTATCTCGAGACAATCATAGTTCTACGATAAATTCAAAAGGAATGTCTCTGAGAGCTCAATCTGAAGACAACAAATTGAACCGTAAATTGAACTCTTTCTATATCCAAATAAAGCAGAATATCCCAAACCCAATCTGTTAAGTCCGTGACTGTAATGTCCGACTGTATCGGCATGGATTAGAAGATCAGCTTGCGCTTTCGCTTCGGATACAGGGGCGCCTACAGCCGTGAGGCTGTCCTCCATGAACCGCCTGGCTTCCTCAACTAGTACCTCAGGCATGACTGTACTCTGTAAACAATAACACAATGCTTTATATGAGAAATGTTAAAGAAATTAAAACTATACAGCGTGTTCGTATTCGAAATTAATTTAAATTATATTTATAAATTAACTAGCTGACCCGGCAGACTTCGTAGTGCCTCAATCGATAAATAAAAGACCTAAACTTTATTTAATTTAAAAAAAATTCATACTTTTTAAACCTTCTCTGGACTTCGACAAATAATTCAAGACCAAAATTAGCCAAATCGGTCCAGCCGTTCCCGAGTTTTAGCGAGACTAACGAACAGCATTTCATTTTTATATATACCTAGTCAGGTCATAAGTATTGTCACACAGTAAAAACTTTTCTTTTAGAATGCTGGCCACAAAAAAGTTTATTGAATTCGAATTTCGAATTGTTCATGAAAATAAAAATGTATATACTTTTAGAATTTTACTCATTTTTAAATATGGAGTGGACGCTTAAAGAAAACCGTGTTGCAGTTATTGCGTTGCATCGTTGCGGTTACGCGCCAATTCAAATTTTTAACATACTGAAAAATTTGAATATAACCAAAAGATTCGTTTATCGTACCATCAAACGATACAATGAAGACTCTAGTGTAGATGACAGGTCAAGAAGTGGTCGCCCTCGGTCTGTTAGGACTCCAGCAGTGATAAAAGCTGTGAAGGCGCGAATTCAAAGAAATCCCAAACGTAAGCAGAAACTGTTGGCCCTTCAGATGGGGTTAAGCAGAACCACGGTGAAAAGGGTGTTAAATGAAGACTTAGGGCTTCGGGCATATCGAAGAAAAACAGGACATCGTTTGAATGCTCGTCTAATGGACCTGAGACTGAAGAGATGCCGCGCTTTGTTGAAGCGGTACGCGGGAAAAAAATATCGGGAAATTCTTTTTTCGGATGAAAAAATTTTTACCGTAGAAGAGAGCTACAACAAACAAAATGATAAGGTGTACGCACACAGTAGTGAAGAAGCGAGCAACCGTATTCCGCGTGTCCAACGAGGTCATTTTCCATCCTCGCTCATGGTATGGTTGGGAGTTTCTTATTGGGGCTTAACAGAGGTACATTTTTGTGAGAAAGGTGTAAAAACGAATGCAGTTGTGTATCAAAATACAGTCCTGACGAACCTTGTGGAACCTGTTTCTCATACCATGTTCAATAACAGGCACTGGGTATTCCAACAAGATTCGGCGCCAGCTCATAGAGCGAAGAGCACACAAGACTGGCTGGCGGCGCGTGAAATCGACTTCATCCGGCACGAAGACTGGCCCTCCTCCAGTCCAGATTTGAATCCGTTAGATTACAAGATATGGCAACACTTGGAGGAAAAGGCGTGCTCAAAGCCTCATCCCAATTTGGAGTCACTCAAGACATCCTTGATTAAGGCAGCCGCCGATATTGACATGGACCTCGTTCGTGCTGAGATAGACGACTGGCCGCGCAGATTGAAGGCCTGTACTCAAAATCACGGAGGTCATTTTGATTAAACTTTAGTGTCATAAGAATCTATGTTTTGTTAAGTTCATTTTGGTATATGAATGGTTACATAATGAATAAACTTGTTTCAATTATTTTACATTAAACATGTGACAGAATTTATGACCTGACTAGGTATAGATAATAAATAATATGTTGTATTGAAACATTAATTTGATTCATCCAAATAAAAGTTGGCTTTGCTGAATTTTTTTCTTAAAGCTAAGAAATAATAATTTTTAAAATCTTCCCCTAACCTATTATAACATGTTAAAGATACTATTGACAACTAACTACCACTGATACTACAACTGACTCTTGACGAAAATCACGTATCCACTCAAATCGTGAGGTCGTCAGCCCATCTATAAAATAGAAATACCAATTTCGCAGTACGTACATATATTTTATCACCTATACGATAAAATGCACGATCTACGTGACTTGTAGCAAATACGCTAGAGTTCGCTCATTGCATTACAACACATGACGAAGCTAATTTATCTACGATTGGACCTGCCATTTTATTTAAGCCAAACATTTCGAAATATGATCAAGGACAATACGAATAACCAAGCATCAATAATCAAAAGCGCATTAGATTTAAAAAAGCTGGTGGCTGAGCATGTTAGATACGCGCATACCGAATGATACCATTTGTCTATTTCTATGAATAAACGATTTGAAAGTCACTATATCCGCTATACCATTAAATTTGAATCTTCAGTTAAACTAATAAATTTGTTCTTAATATCTGCTCCTTTTCCGCGTATTGTGACCTCGCACTCGCTGGAGCCATTATCCTTATACTGCGGCACCAAAATTTTGCACTTTCTTTGAAGTATATGAGGTCATATTATGTAGGTACCTATATTTACCTATATTTAAAGAATAAACCTACCTGTATTTAAAGAATACACCTATATTTAAACAATAAACCTTACATACCTATTTTATAACGAGCGTATATTAAACAGGACATTTTATTTAAGATATATGTATGTGTGTATAGATAGATGTATTTCTAAGGCTCCATTATCCAGTTGTCAGGGTCTGAGAGCACATATGAATGTTTATTAACAGCAAATAAGATGAAATAATATAATTAATGATAGTACACCCCATACACAAATCAACGCAGATATCGAATATCGACCACGAGAAAATTATATTGCGAATTTAATTACAGTAAACTGTAAAAGATACTCGGACTAGAAATGTTGTTAGAGCTTATACACACGTATTAAAATGTTATTAGGGCTTATAATAATAATAAGCCATTTATTTCTAGCTTTTACAAAGTCTAAAAATAATAATAAAAATAAATGTATGTATTAGCATTTAGGATGCAAAAGAGAGTTTTGTAATGAAGTAGTAAAATTTAGTTAGCAAAAACCCCGGATTGGGTAAAGGCCTCCTCCAAAGACGCTTGGGCGTCTCTATCCTGTACCACGTCTATCCAGTTTGGGCTAGCTGTTCGTCTAAGATCGCCTTCCCATCTGGAACGGGGCTTATACACAAGCATGAAATTGCGCGTAGAGATCAGAAGATTGGTTGGAACAACGACAGGATTGTCTGATGGGTGCAAGTCGCATATCTATCCCCAACATATGTGGTAGTAGATCAGGCAAAAAATGAAGCTTATACTTGGGTAATGTTTTCAAGAAGACGAGAATTTGATGCGAGAGTATTTCGTGCAATTATGGCCTTCACTTGTTTGTTTATTTATTTATGTACTAACACGAAAACCAACAGAAAAATATTATTTCATTCAAAAAATGTTATAGAACTATGCAACTGGAGGAGGAGGAACTGAGGAACCAAACTATGAACGACTGACTGACAGGTGGCGCAATAGTTAACGCTGCTAACTCCAGCAGTCACATTGGATATTTTTTCTCTTTTTTTATTGTCAAATAGCGATCTGTTTCAATTAACAATGAACTATTCCTTTGGACCTAGGGTAATGAGATTGATTCCCACTTTGGGCCAACATTCGACAAACAGATTTGTTTACTCCGTGTCTGGAATTTTAAACATATACTTTATGCGTTTCGGTTCGAAGGGTGGGGTAGGCGTTGTAACTATACTGAGACCTTAGAACTTATATCTCAAGGTGGGTGGCGCATTTACGTTGTAGATGTCTATGGGCTCCAGTAACCACTTAACACCAGGTGGGCTGTGAGCTCGTCCACTCATCTAAGCAATAAAAAAAAAAATTATGAATATCAACAGCCTCTAGTCGCTCAGCCTCTGCCGAATACAGGGAATACTAGTTTGAGCTCAGATGTACTGTCGAGCAGATGTCGTTAGAATCTCGATTTTTCTTTAGTAAAAAGTTCGATGCAATAATCTTAGTGAAAAATGACGTGTAAAACATTTTAAAAGCGCCCGCTGCAGTCGTATCAATTCATGGGAAAATGCCGTTTATCTGAATAGCTAAATATGTACACCAAAAATTGAAGCAATTACGCTCTTGGAGGTTCCGTTAAATAAATACTATCAGGACCTTTTTTTCTTACCTAAGCAAGCCTTGAGAAGCTATTTCAGCGTAACCTTAACTAGTGGGTGAGCTCACGGGGCTCAAACCTGACGACATTGCGAACCCTAGCAAGAGCCGTGCTTCGCAGAATCTACCACCGGATCGGAAACGCGACCCACTGAGAAGATCCGGCGAGAAACTCAGTGGGCTGTGTCTGAGGGTTAATTTACTCGTCGAACCCTTCGTCGCAAGCGACGTGTTCGGCGAGAACGATGACCGGCTATTAGGACCTCGACGGTCTCTCGTATAAATACGGGCGTTAGTATGAACCAATGTGCTTATTGCGAATTTTTTAACGTTCTCGATAGCGTAAAAGTTAACTTAAATTTGTATGCAATTGGAACAGCGTCCCTAACGGCAAACCTAGGCAAAAGTTCCAACTCCATACAAATTTGAGTTAACTTTTACGCTATCGGGAACGTTAAAAAACTCGCACTAAGCACACAAGATGATAAAAATCGCAACAAGATGAGGCGACGAGCGGCTCACGGGTGACGAAACATAGCGCTTGTTTAAGTCAGACGNGTTAACTTAAATTTGTATGCAATTGGAACAGCGTCCCTAACGGCAAACCTAGGCAAAAGTTCCAACTCCATACAAATTTGAGTTAACTTTTACGCTATCGGGAACGTTAAAAAACTCGCACTAAGCACACAAGATGATAAAAATCGCAACAAGATGAGGCGACGAGCGGCTCACGGGTGACGAAACATAGCGCTTGTTTGAGTCAGACGAAAATGCTTTTTCTGCCAACTCATTTGTAAACACTCTTGATACACAATCAACTGTGATAACATTTATTGACTCAGTTTCTCATTAATTCATTACTTCTTCTTCTTGTTCTCATCTCACATTATTTGAGGTCCGCGCAGAATGTCCTCTTATCTTGCCGCATAAGGGATTTGGCATCAGTTTTTACAGCTTTGGCATTTTTGGAGTTGGAGTTGGAGTTTTGCAGTTTTTTATTTATTATATTATTTGTTTTTAGCATT